ATTATATGTTACTAATAATATTGTTGTAATATTCAAATTTATTAACCTTATTGTTGTTAAACCCAATTGCTACCTCACAGTAAACCGGAAAACCTATAGTTTGAACCCAAAGGTTAAACTACAACCACAAAGGACAAAAAAAGTAAACCCGGAGGGGATTTGTGACTATTACAATAATGATGTTATTCTATCATCTAACGAAGGATTGGACTATGTCTTCTCGTAACAATTTGTGGTGTCATACGTTTATAAGGTATATTAAGAAACACTACCTGCGGTGACGTCTTCGTTCTCAGTTCAAGCACGTTATTTCGCGGAGTGACGTCTTTGACATCGAAGCACCAACGTCTTCCTCCTTAAACTTTAGTCCGGTACATACGTCTTACAAAAGCGCAACGTCGCAACGTTTTTTGTCTGTGAAGGACAAGTGAGTAGACCCCTTCTGTGTGACAATTTTAGGACGAGCGCGGCCTCCTCTGTGGCTCCAGTTAGAAGTTGTCACCGGAACAATACTTAATGTAGCTTGTACATTTTTGAACAACTCCATTAAAGAGCCTTAGTCGCGAAACGGGAACCGGTCTTGAATGAGAGGAAAGAGTGTCGTGTGTGTGTGTGGTGTGGTGTGTGTGTGTGTGTGTTGTGTGTGTGTGTGTGTGTGTCAGTGTGTGTGGGTGTGTGTGTGTGTGGTGTGTGTGTGTGTGTGTGTGGTGTGTGTGTGTGTGGTGTGGTGTGTGTGTGTGTGTGTGGTGTGTGTGTGTTGTGTGTGTGTTGCTGTGTGGGTGTGGTGTGTGTGTGTGTTGAGACAGGGGGCTACATGTGGAAGAGTGAAATGACGGAGGGGGTGCGGAGAAGACTGGTCTTGATGTAAAGGGGAAGTTGCGAGTCACAAGAAGGAGAATGAGAGGAGGAGGAGGGCAGAGAAAAGAGACGTCATACATGACACCTTATGATTACACTCGCCAGACTCCCTCGTGACAGTTGCAACAGAGTCGACACACTGTACAGCCACGGTCTCGAGGGTGAGGAGGGTTGGTGTCCATCAGGGTGGAGGGCGACCTCGAGAGGAGGAGAGAAATACAACTGTTTACTTGTTTCCATGGCCAGAGATGTGTGTTGTTTGAGAGCAGGAGGAGGGGGGAGGCCGACACGTAACGTAACAAAGGGAAACTGGGAAGACTCTAGTTTGGCCGTCACAATGGAGATTTCTAAACCTAATCCTAACTAGACCTACGCGGTGTCGGCGAAAGTCACACAACGAATGTAGTCGCTCTCCTCATATGGACCGGATCATTAATCTTTTCACACACTGATTATCGAAGTAAAACGTAAAGTATATACTAAAACTATATAAGTCTTTATTGTAAACACTAGAAACTACCTTTGAAACAATTCTTGACCTCTACTTACCTTTACTCATCAGAACTTACGGTAGTCACCCGTGCGCCCGTTACTTAGTAGGTGTGTCGAACCGCCACCTCGTCTATCATGGCCTCCTTTCGGTAACAATGATTAATCGAGTAAATTTTCCCACATAGTTTAACATTGAAATCGAGAATTTCGCAGTAGGAGGTTACATGAGGGATGGTAGTAAAAGGTAGATATTGGAGTTACTTCATTAGGAACCGTAATACGCTACTTTCAAAGTCGGAGGTAGGACTATAATTCTTATCTATTCAGACTTCCCATCCGTAACCTTCTATGCGAAATTCTCGATTTCATGTAAACTATTGGGAAAATTTACTCGATTAATGCATTGTTAACCGGAAAAGGAGGCCATGATAGACGAAACGTGCGGTTGAACACACCCCTACTAAGTAGACCCGGCGGTGACTACCCGTAAGGTTTCTGATAGTAAATAAGTAGGAGTCAAGAGATGTTCAAAGGTAAGTTTCTAGTGTTTACAATAAAAACTTATATAGTTTTAGTATATACTTTACGTTTTTACTTCGATAATCAGGTCGTGTGAAAAGTTAATGATCCGGGTCCATATAGGAGGAGGCCCGACTTACATTCCGTGTGTGGACTTTCGCGACACGCGTAGCGGTCTGTTTAGATTATGTGTTTTAGAAATCCATTCGTACGCCAACTAGATTCTTCCCAGTTTCCCTTGTTACTTACGTGTCCCCCCCCCTCCCTCCTCTCTTCAAACAACGCACCACATCTCTGGACTTGGAAACAAGTAAACAGGTTGTATTTCTCTCCTCCTCTCGAGGGTCGCCCTTCAACCTGATGGACACCACCCTCCGTCAGGCGCGCGCGCGACGGCGCGCGCCGTGGCTGTACCGTGTGTCGACTCTGTCCTGAACTGTACGAGGAGTGGCGGCGAGTGTAATCATAAGGTGTCATGTATGGACGTCTCTTCTCTCTCCCCCCTCTCCTCCTTCCCTCAATTTCTCCTCATTCGTGACTCCACCTTCCCCTTTACATCAGACCAGGTCTTTCCCTCCCCGCACCCCCTCCGTCATTCACTTTTTCTTCCACCATTTAGCCCTCTGTCTCCACACACCACACACACACACACACACACACACACACACACACACAACACACACCACCACACACAAAAACCCCAAAACCCAAAACACACACACACACACACAACACACACAACACACAGCACACACACACACACACACACACACACACACACACCACACACACACACACACACACAACCCACGCACACACACACACACACCACACACCACACAACACCCCTCCTTTCCTCCTTCCCATTTCCCCAACCCGGTTCCGTTTTCGCGACTCAAGGGTCTTAATGAGGTGTTTTCCAAAAAATGTCAAGCTAATTAAGTTGGTTCCCCGTGAAACTTCTACTCGGGATACAAGAGGAGGCGGCTCCGTCTAAATGTCACACAAGAAGGGGTCTACTCACTTGGTCCTTCGACAGACCCAAAAAACGTTTGCGACGTTGCCGCTTTTGTAGAGGTATGTAACCGGACTAGAGTTTAGAGAAAGTGGTGCTCGATCGTCAAAGACGTCACTCCGGGGCGGAAATAACTGGCTTGACCTGGAACGACAGACGTGCACCGAGGTTGTGGTTTCTTTTATATCACCTTATAAAGTATGAACACAAAATTGTTACGGAGAGACATAGCGTCAATCTTGTCAGATGATAGATAACATCATGTATTCGTAATAGTCTACAAATCTCCGTCACTGTGGTGGTGGTCCATGTTGGTTGTTGGGTAAGTATAACTGTGTTCAACTATAAGGGAATTTCCCGTTACTGTGTCAGGTTAAGCACACATTAGGTCGTCTAAAACACAATAGTTAATAAATTATGGAAACTATTATTACAATACTTTTATTATACATAATAATTTTGTCTAAGATTCAACTTTACAAACTCACTCGGAAGACCCTCCACTACAATACTTAAAGTCGGTAATGTTGTGGAACATGCTGCAAAAAATCGTTATAAAAACAAAAGGGCGAATCACTGGCCAAGTCCTGAGAGTCCGAAGGACAGACAGTAATTATACGCTCGGGAACAGACCCTCTACCAAATGGAATCGACCGTGTTTCTGATTGTCGTCCGCCTTGACTTTTTCGGACAGAGACATGTTCGACATTTTTTTACTAAATCGCGCGCCACTGAGAGTTCGAGGGGGATTTGGGTAATTTGTGCAAACATAGACATACATTTCTAATCTCTTTTTCTCTTTCACTTTTCACTCGAAGGTCCTCATTGACCGTGGTGGGGGTTTGTTTGTTTTAACCCTGTAATTGGTGAGGACATTTCGGGAAAAACGTCGAATGAAAAAAAAACTGGTTAATGCCATGTGGTTTTTGTTCTAAATTACGCAGTGTATTGAAATGAGGCACGACACTCCGTTATAAAACAATGAAACCTTGTCGTCGGTCCAAGATCAGTTTGTCATTTCGATAAACGGGATTCTTAAACAATTTTATTAGACACGGAATGAAGGAGATTTAGATTACGAAGTATCATTACTTCACTATGCGTGCAAGAAAGACCGTCCACTGTCTATACGTACGAGTCCTAGTCGTGATGGGTCCTGGACCCCGTTTCGTCGGGTCTTGCCAAGACCTTTTGTTCCGTTGGTTGGGCCTAAGCAAGAAAAGACCATACAAGACGGAGTTCTATTTTTACTAGTACTCTCGGTACACACTAGAAAAAACGTTCGTATGTCATTATCCTAAAAAATATTTTACAGAGAACCGATGGACNCTTGATTCTGATTGGCCTGAAGACATTATCAAAGATGTTCTATTGAGAAGACGATCACTAGGTGACAAAAGTTTTCAAAACCGTTTCTGGTCTTCGGTATTTCCAGACAAGTGGCTACTGAAATCAATCTTACTAACTGCTGTCTGTGCAATTCTCGGCGCGAGTTGGCGGACTTTATTTTGCTTACTTTAACATCATTTTTCATGGTGGGGCTAAGCCATTTCTTGGTATGGGTGTAGCCTACCCCAGCCATACCCTGGCGCTGCCACTGGTGGGATGTATGGGGTGGACCATTCTGCACATGCGTTAAATGTGTTAAATATTTTAACGCAATTAATTAAAAAAAATAATTACCGCCTTTAACGCGATAATTTTGACAGCATTAATTATAATATATCGAAATAATGACTTGGTATCTTAACAATTTTTTTTTTAAAACAGTTAATATATTGGGAAAGATTGTCATTAGGAAGAACATTTATTTTATTTGTATTATATATATTACAATTCAGGTGTTCACTCAGTTGTTACACACAGCACAACACACACACACACACACACACACACACACACACACACACACACACACACACACACACACACACACACACACACACACACACATACATATGCAGTACATATATATATACAAACAGTATACACATGCACACAAAGTTACACCTTGAAAAAAGGTTAATTTCTTGATTGTTCTAGATTTCTTTTGTACCTAATACATTGGTAACTCAGCAGTATTTATAGTATGTGTACGTGCTATCTGTGTGTGTAGTGCCTTCGTAAGGATGCTGAGTCGAGACGGAGGGAGCTGCATATCCGTACCTACGCTGTGATTCCTCTCAACGAGGAGTGCGGCATCATCGAATGGGTCAACAACACGGCCGGACTGCGACACATTCTCACCAAGCTGTACAAAGAGAGAGGTAATAATAATAATAATCTTTTATTTGTATAACACCTTTCATACAACAAGTGCAGTCCAAAGTGCTTCACATAGACATTTCTCAAAAAATACAGATACCAGTAAAAGACATCAAAACAAACTAGAGTAAACATATATAAAAAATACATTTAGATTAAAGGTACAACGATGAAATTGTGCATTAAAAGGAGGATAGTGCAAATTCAACACACAATCAGGTGACGGGTTAAAATGCATTGAGAAAGTGCAGGAGTTTGCTTCCTAAAAGGCTCAAATGTAAAAATGTGTTTTGAGTTTATTTATTTTTAAAGACTTCCACCGAGCTGGCTTCCCTGATGTCTACAGGTGTTTTGTTTTTATAAAGAAAAACAATAACGGACCAAGGCAGCTCCCTTGTGGAACCCCATGGAGATACACTCACACGTCAAACCCCCCGTGAGTAAGATACATGTTGTGAACATATTTAATTTGGTCATATTTGTGGGTGTGTTTTCTAGGTATTAACTTATCAGGTAAAGAGCTCAGAAAGCTTATCCTGCCGAAGACGGCCCCCTTTGAAGAGAAGCTACGAATCCACAAGGAGGTGCTTTGTGTTCGACACATTCCTGTGTTCCACGAGTGGTTCCTCCGGACCTTCCCCGACCCCACATCATGGTACGACCCTAAATGTAACTCCACAATTCAAGAGGGTCAATGTTTCAAAGCAGTGTAAATTATATTATTGTGTTGTGTGTGTGTGTATGTTATTACATTTAGGAAGCAGTTTCAGTTCTGGATTTAAAGTTTAGGATGTTTTTCCGGTTGGTTAAATGTTTAAAAAGGGTCAAGATCAAGTTTGAGGTTAAATTACTGATAAGGTTTACATTTTTCATAATATCTCTCACTGTGTGTGTTTACAGGTACAGCAGTCGCTCTGCGTACTGCCGCTCCACTGCTGTGATGTCCATGGTGGGCTACATCCTGGGTCTGGGGGATCGTCACGGAGAAAACATCCTCTTCGACTCTTTCACCGGGGAATGTGTTCACGTCGACTTCAACTGCCTCTTCAACAAGGTTTGTCTCAAATTCTCTCAAAGGTCCCCTATCATACTGTTTTTCATCTATGTATGATAGGTCTCAGATATATACAAAACATGTCTCTGAAGTGTTTGTCTCCAAACACCAAACAGATCATTGCAGCATTACCCATAATCCCCTCTGTTTCAGCCCTGTTTCCAAAGTGCTGATTCTCTGTCTGTTACTTTAGATGAAAATAAGGAGCCCCTCCCCACGCCCCTCTGAGAGATATTTGGTTAAAAAGAACACAATGGTGCTCTAGGAGGAGATTCAGGTGATAAGGGGGAGGGGGGGGGGTTACCTTGGTTGCTGATTGGCTAATGGTTACACAAGCCAAACAATCGTTATGACATCATAAAGTGGCCAAAATCTGATCAGCTCATTTTCAGACAGGTTTTTATAGAAATGGATCAGGACAAAAAGAGAGAGAATCTTTCAGAATCTCTTTCCACAGAGGGGACACATGTAGATGAAGAAGAGACATGAAGAAGAGGATTTTGTATAATAGGTGACCTTTAAGTAAGAATTATATATTATAATGAAAAAAATCTTAGAATTTGTTTTAAATATAGTTTTGTATACCCTGCCTTCTGCTAGTCTTATCTGTACCTGTATTTCTGTAATGCTCCTTCTGTCCCTCTCCATTAGGGGGAGACGTTTGACGTGCCTGAAGTGGTTCCCTTCCGTCTGACCCAGAATATGGTCCACGCCATGGGGCCCATGGGCACCGAGGGTCTCTTCAGACAGGCCTCTGAGGTGACCCTGAAACTCATGAGGGACCAGAGAGAGCCGCTCATGAGGTACACGCCAAAAAATACTCTCGAGTACAAACACAAATCTATTTTAAAGGCCAGGGTTTAAAGCAAAAAGCATAAACTTACTTTCTACATCCAAGGTTTTTCTCTGTCCTAAATGTATATAGAGTAACTCCATTTTAAAAAAGATTCCAAATTAAACATTTCTATTTCCTCTTAGTGTGCTTAAGACCTTCCTTCATGACCCCCTGGTGGAGTGGAGTAAACCAGCCAAAGGAGGACTTTCTAGAACGCAGGCCAACGAGACAGGAGAGATAGTAAATGAAAAGGTGAGTGCAGTCTACGCCTTTCTATGCAAGTATGTTTACACGCCTCAGAGCAGCATACAGTATAACACATAAATGCCATATTTTTGCTATTACTATAACTGCATTGTATATCTTTCGCCCTTCTTCTCTGTCAGGCGAAAACCCACGTGTGTGACATCGACCAGCGACTGCAGGGTGTCATAAAGAGCCGGAACAAAGTGCTGGGTCTACCTCTGTCCATAGAGGGACACGTCCACTACCTCATACAGGAAGCCACTGATGACAAGCTGCTCTGTCAGATGTATCTGGGCTGGGGACCCTACCTGTAAAACATGCCTTAGTTTACAAAAAGAAAGCATTTGAAATCAAGTTCAGGGGAATTTAAAAGGTTTTTCTGTTATCCAAAGCCTACACAAAACAACCAGGAGTGCCCTGTAAGGTGGCTCCGAACACCCACGACTGTTCTTTATGATTTAACCTTGTATGTTCTAGTACTTCTATCCATGTTAAGTTTCCTGTTTCTGGAAAAAAATATTATTTTTGTATTCATTCCACTTGTAATAAAGGATTTGTGTTTTTCAGATTTGATGCTGTAGGTAAATGTGTCTTCTAATCTCTTAACCCTCCTTAGATTCTCTTCAGCAGTCAGATTGTTTTAATCCTGTGTGTGTGTGTGTGTGTGTGTGTGTGTGTGTGTGTGTGTGTGTGTGTGTGTGTGTGTGTGTGTGTGTGTGTGTGTGTGTGTGGTCCAATCAGCTGATCCTTCTCACAGGAGCACCAATTACAGCAAAGTGTTTGCTCATGAAAGCCTTAAGACGCCGATAAAGCCTTTGTGAGGTTAGTAGTGTGAGGGATGTTGGATTTCTTTTGTAAGCAGGAGTTGTGTTGTCTAGTCATGCGTTCAGACACTCAAGCGGTCACTGTATTTTTTGTAATTATTTTTCTTATTTTTGTAAATGCCTGGCTGCTGTTCCAGCTTTCTTTTGGATAAAAGTGTTGTTTTTTTAATGAAGAGGATCTTTCCAATCCAGCACTGGATATATGGGCTATTTTTGAGGATTTTAAAGATTCACTGTTGTCTTTTTACTTGATGGGTGATGGCATATTGTTTTCGTGTCCTAGAGATTTTCTCGTTGAATAGAATTCACATTTTGTAAATATGTCACTTTTTTTATTGTATCTTTTGTTGGGTGGCGTAGGCGCGTTGAGATTACGTTTTTATTTTGAAAGGCCCCACCGGAAGTTTCGGGGAATCTTTTTTTATTCTCATCGTAGATTTTAAATCAAATTTGTTTCTTATTTTCACCCAGGTAAAGACCGTTATTAAATCATATACTGTCATTCATTTTCTGCCAAACGTACTGGTATTTTAAAAAACAAAACACGTTGCGGTGACGCCAGCGTTTAAAGCAGCAAATCAAAAGCGCTAAAAGGAAACAGAGATAACGGTAAACACAATACCATGGATGTATAAACCTGACATAAGGCCTGTTAGTGTAACTTAAAAATCAGCCGATACAGCCTAACAGACGCTGTAAACAAACAAACAGCCAACTCGTCAGTGAAGGAAAGACACGGCATGACTGGAGGATAAACCCAGAACAACACGGTGCCTGCTGCTGCACGCGCGCTGTCTTCATGGGTTCGGTTGCTCAGTGATAACGGACAGTAATCTGGCCGGAGGTTAACGGTTGTTGTTGTTGCCATGGCGAGGTCAGCTGCTGGTTGCTGTCGTGGCTCTCTGGGCTTTTTATAGTCCTACTGGACAGTTCACCTTCTGTAGGACAAACCGAAGACAGCGCGCGACCTTGGAGGACGTTGCCATGGATTTAACGCGGCTGGCTGTGGATGCGGGTCAGTTCATCAACCGGGCCGTTCAGGTAATAAATGAACGGTAATGTAAGAAATAAGTAACGTCAGTCCTAATTAAACACGTTATGATCGCTGTCAATTGTAACCAAACCGTGTTAAGACGTTAATGTCACCCTAAATGACGGGTTTATGACAACCAGTCACTTTCATAGCAGCAGGTCAATAAAACGATACATTAAAACGTGTTTTTGTTCTTCTGTGATCCGACCCAGTACACGGAGGAGAGTCTCGGCCAGGCGGAGAAAACAGGGCTGAACTCCGGGCTGGAGGAGCGCCTGGCCCTGGTAGAAGCCACCAAGACCTGGACAGACCAGATCATCTCCCAGACTGAGGTTCTACTGCAGCCCAATGCAGGTTAGAAACTGTAAAAAAGGGTTTTTATTCGTTTAGTTTATTTTAATGTTCAGCAGGTCCTGAAAGTATGTGATGACTGTCAGTTTTTGTTGGTTATTCGACAGATATGCACAGACAGTCGGCAGTCAGAGGGTTAGCTCACATCCAAGCCCTCATGCAAAGTGACTATCAATAATTGGTTTGAATCACATAAAATATTCATCCGTGCTAGCTGCTTGCCCATTAATGAAAAATATGCAAAAATAATATATTTTATTATAAAAAACCTAGCCGATATTAAATGTTCTTTTATAAGAAACACCTTCTTTTCATTACTGAGTTGTTATGAATTGATTATATGATAAGAAAATATATTTTAACGATATTCTAACAGCATCCATGTCATGTATGTAACTCTAAATTAATACCAGATATTATTACTACACTGGAAAAATAAGACTCTGATATTTTTGAGAAATGTTAGTTTCCAATATATTTTATGATAATGAATTGCTTTATTTATTTGCAATAGCTTCCATATCACGTGAATCTAATTGAACCCAAGTTGCACACACCTATTTGTATTTAATTCTATTTTCATATGAAAATATCAAAACAAATATAGGTTAGAATATTGTGCTGTATACAAGCCAAACAGTTTGCTCTGATGAACACATCCTTATGGCTGCACCGAACTAAACGTTTAGGACGTGTGCTTTATTTCCAACTAATTGCCACTATACATTTGCACTCTACATACAACCACTGAATAATGACTCTGCTGTTTGCTCTTCTAGAAACATCCCCTGTGTGCCCTTCTGTTTGCTCTGCTGTGATTGGCCTGTTCAGATGAATGAGGGATGTTATTATTTTGCCTCCACTTATCTCCACTAATGGAATTATGAGTGGATGTGGTCTGCAGTCTATCAAATAAGGGGGGCACTCAGATGCTGTAAAGTAAACTCATGTTTGTTCAGCATCGAGGATATAATTGAATATCGACCGAGGGATTTTAGTCTCTATGAAGAATAATCTTTGTTTACCCTACGATATATACCTCATGGGCCTATTGCAGAGACCAGCCTGTAGGAGCCACATATGAAGCCATTTCTGTGTTTGTTACGATACATGTTTTTTGAGTCACTATAGGTGGTGGGCGTGTCATTGGATTTGTGTGGTGACGTTTGTGCTTATATCCGGTATTATATATATTTGCATTCTGTCCACTGTCTCACATTATGTCAGGTGTCAATGCTTGTCCTATAGAACATAGTAGTGGTCATGCTTTGACAATAATTGTTTTCTACTTTTATTTAACAGTGTTTTTTTTAAGATTTTTATTTTAATATGTTTAATATGTTTTGGACTTTTGCAGTTCTTTTTATCTTAACTGGTTTATTGTGCATAAAATATAAAAACACATTCTCAGTGTTTTTTTAAGAGAAGATAAACCTAAATGAAGCTCTTGATCCTTGATGACCAGGAGCCCGGTTGGAGGACCGGCTCTATGAGCAGCTGGACTGGAGCGTGCCCCCTCGGCCTCATGCTCATGAGGTCCTGGGAGACCACATGACCCAGGCTGGGCTGGAGATGGGGTCCAACACACCCTATGGTGAGTGTACATTAAGTCAAAGTCAACTTTATTGTCAATCTGTCAGTTTGTGTACACTGTACAGACAGAGAGATCGAAATACCGTTCCCCACAATCACAAAAACAAAAACAAATATATATCAAAATAATATGTATGCAAATATCTATATCCTATACATACACAATCAAAAGACACATTTAAACATATGCACACATTAAGACTTAAATAAAAGCACAACAATCAATATATAGAAAAATAACAGTCACTTCAATATCTTTGAAAATGTACATTAATCAGTATCAACATCATTAATAGCCAGCGTGTGTTCTTCGATTAAGAACATCAGTATGTTTTGTGTTCAGGAACTGCACTGCTCAGGTTCGGAGAGACTCAAAAACGGCTTGGTGAGATGGAGAGGAATTTGGTCCAAAGCACCAACATCCACTTTCTCACCCCTCTGAGGAGTTTCACTGAAGGAGAATACAGAGTCATGCAGGTGACACACACACACACACACACACACACACACACACACACACACACACACACACACACACACACACACACACACACACACATTGCCCTTATGATTGTTTGAATGTTATTCCCGGTAATTGCCTCTCTAATCTCTTCCTTTGTTCTGTTGTAATGCAAAGTTTATAGATTGTTTGTATACCTAATAGCACAATGAGTAGGATTCTCCTAAAAAAAAAAACAATTTTAAAGACCCATGCCAACATAATCCCCACTAGAAGTGTGTGGCGGCGTCTGCCTTTCTCCTTTCCTTTTATATCTGCTGTGATCTGGACATTTCTGGGCGTCACCCTTTATAAAAACATAGCCACCACATGCAGATTGTCAACATGCAAACAAATGGAAATCTAGGGAAATGGCACACAGGCAAAATTAGGCGACTCTGAGGAAGACTTTTCACCTGCTGGCGAGCACTGTTACACGGTGTTTACAAACCACACATCATACCAACTGTACTTGAACATGGCTTTAAAAAGTGTTTGTTTGTTCATAGGATGAGCGCAAGATGTTGGTGAATAAGCGTTTGGACCTGGATATAGCTAAAACCAGACTGAGAAAAGCCCACGAAGCCGACAGAGAGGGCAGAGTGAGTAACGAGTCTTGACCTTCACTTATACAGTAAATATCCTTCAATACATTTAACATACTGTCATCAATTTAAAGACACACCAAAATCTTCGTTTTTTTTTAATCAGTCATTTACAGTACCGTAATTTTCGGACTATAAGCCGCGCCTTTTTCCCTATTTTTCGACGCTGCGGCTTATATAACGGTGCGGCTAATCGATGGATTTTTACAGCTAGTGTGTGTGTCTGGTGTGTGTGTGTGTGTGTGAAAATCTACAGGTTGAAACATCGATTGTTGAAGAATGGGTCTTGATTCGGGTTTACTCGGTTTGTTATCTTGGATTAGGTACTTTGATTGTCTTGTACGAAATAAGATATGTTAATATATAGTCGACCTTCAAAATTAAATTTTTCAGAAGAGATATTGTCGTACCTTCTTATCAACATAGTCAAGGGGGGATAACACGTACTTCGCTATTCGTACCTGAGGTGAGACTCTCTAAAGACTCGCCGTTGTAGACCCGCTTCCTCTCCTGCCTCTTACTTTGTCACTGAGTTGAGTCACTTGGTTTGCCGTTTCCAAGTCGGTACGGACAGTTACACCACAAGGAAATAGAAAGTGACTGGAAATGTCGGTAAACTGGGCGTCCTTCGACTTGTACCATTCTCTGTCACTCGGTACATCTAGCAGAGGGTAGCCGAAAACGTAAGTCCAAGACTGTTTCTACTTTTCGTCCTTGACGTTACCTCTTAATAATGTCATTATAAAGCCTGATATTCCGCGTGGACTTATGATTCGGTGGTGTCGTTCGCCGTATGGTAGAGCCAAGGTTGAAATAAACGCGCGATGGTATAGAGTGAGAAAAGGCGGAGGTCGAACAAGGACGACCTTGGGCGGCGAATTCGCACCCCCAGCGCGCGCTGGCCGGTACTCTCGGGGTATTCAATTTCNTATGTGATTAACATGATGATTCAGCCTCTATGGAGATAGACATATGACAAGCATGATCATTTCTGACGTGGAGCTAATCTGAAGTAAACATTGAATACTGCTTTCTATTCCTCCATCTTGTTACTGTGGAACTCCCTCTCTTGGATATCAGCATGTGAAGGACACTGTTCAGGAACTAGTTGATGCTCTGTATGTGATGACTACTTCCATTCTGGAGAGGATCAGAAATACACGGATCCTGAGATTGAGTTATTGAGAAAAAGTCGGAATTTTGAGAAAAAGTCAGAATTTTGGAATTTGGAGAAAAACACAGAATTTTGAAAACATTTCAGAATTTTTTTTAAGAGACAGAATTTTGAGATTTTTAGAGAAAGTCGGAATATTTTGAGAAAGTCCAAATTTAGAGAAAAAGTCAGAATTTTGAGATTTTTTGAGAATGTCCGAATTTTTAGGGAAAGTCATAATTTTGAGAAAAAGTCCTAATTTTAAGAAATTTGAGAAAAAAGTCCTAATTTTGAGAGAAAGTCAGACTTTGAGAAAAAGTCGGAATTTTCTGAATTTTGAGATTACCTAGAAGAACCGGTATTCCTCCATCTTGTGACTGTGTAACTCCCTCTCTTGGATATCAGCATGTGAAGGACACTGTTCAGGAACTAGTTGATGCTCTGTATGTGATGACTACTTCCATTCTGGAGAGGATCACAGATACATGGATCCTGAGATTGAAGCTCAAGCAGTTGTGCTGGGAAAATTGTGATTTTGAAGCTTCTCAATTTTCTCAACCCATGTAGTGTTTCTTTGAGAAAATTATACTATTTCTTCATCTTAAAAAAAAAAGTAAGGTCACAAAACTGAACCACATAAAGGTTTATGCTTTGGAGAATTGGGGTGTAGACAGGACACTAACATGTGTTCCTATTAATGAGCTCTCATGGAGTGATCATACTTTTTTCCCAATGAAAATAGGAACATGATTTAAACTGTTAGATTCAGAAGCCAAACACAACCTCAAAATGTATGCAGTATGGCATGGGATCCAACTTTTTATATTCCAAGCTATAACTCTGGACATCTGGGTTCTCAAAGAACACAAGACTATTGAGAGCAGTATAAAAAGCAAATGAATATATTTTTGCCATTAATGACTTATGTTATGATTTTGTTTCTCCTTGCAGCATCCCAATCGTCCTCTGCTCCAATAACTGTCAGTTAGCGATTGGTCATGAAGTTACGCAGCTGTCCCCAAACAACCACGTAGCCGACGAGCCTGTCGGGTTAAATCAGGTCACTGCAGTTCCCATAGAAGTTCACAACAACCCAGACTTCAGCCAGGATTCATGGACTGCGAATCCACCGGCCTCCACTGAAAAATCAACAGCTTCCACTGTAACCACACAGCAAAATAACAACAACAACAACTTATTTTCTGATGGCACAGCAACCAGCCACTGTTCAGTCGTCAATCAAGCACTTCATCATGTCTCTACGGCTAACTCGGACAGTCACTGCACCAATCAGATCGCAGCGCTCAGCAGAACAACGAGCGCACAAAACAACCCAGCAACTGCTGAAACAACCAATGGTGCGGGTAGGGGGACTACAACAGTTCCCCCACCTTCTCACCTCACTGGAAATGAGTCTCACAATGGGAATGCATCAGCCAGTGACACCGCAACAACTGATGACATGACAACTGAGAATTTAACAACCAATGGCATGTCGGCTGAGCCCCAAACAGCCAATGAAATTGCAAGCAAGCAACCCACCATTAACGGAGAAGATGTCCAGGAGTCATCAGCCAGTCAGGATATGGGTCAGTAGCTGGGACTGACTTTAGATTGAAGCTTGAGCAGTAATTAGCAGTGTTCTTCAAACAATCCGAGAGTACAGACTGCACTATAAGAGGCAGATAGACTATCATTAGACCACATTAATTAATCCCATAGGGAAGATCATTTGAAGTGGTTGTAAAAGTGCTTATTTTTCTAAACGTGATATAGTGCCACATTCATTTTAGCCTTTAACCATAATCATATAATATTCATGTTGTATGGAAATGATGACTGTTGTGTATCAGTCCCCTCTTGTGGCAATGGCTGTAATATTTTGAACTGAAAAGTGGTTTTCAGACTCTTATTTTTAGATACAAATCCAAACTAATGAAGCTTTGTGCCAAGTATATATGATCAGTGTGAAAACGTTGATTGATTTTGAAGTGAATCTGTGTTTGTTTCCATGTGCACACTGTCGCTTGTGTTTACAGCTTTTGCAAATCTCTTACACCTTTAAGGAGAAGTGAGGTCTGTCTGTTTTTGACTCTGCCACCTCTGAACTCTTGTTACTGCCATGAGCTCATTTCCCATCTGAAACATGTTACTAACATGTGTTAGTGACTCCGGCCAGGCGCCCAAACACCAGGCTGAACAGGACCTTTATGCTGCAGCATGGGTTCAAATATGTTGCCTCATGCACAGTCTGGGTGTTTCCCCTCACACACAGTCAAATCAAAATACGCTCTTTTACCCTTTTAACCCATTAGGTGAACTGGGTAGAAGTTTCCAAGTCCAGATGTTGTTAATTCTCTTTGTGAGGGCAGAAAGGCTCTAACTGTGGTGTGGGTCTGCTCTGGGGACCCAGGATGGAAACAAACACACTAATGTAGCAATGACCCTACTGATGTAATCATGAATCAGCTCTTTGCTCTTTGTCGTAGATGTGTGTGTGAATGCATAGTCGCTGCCAGTTCTAAACTGTGTGTCCATGCAGTCATGATGTACGTTGAGCTGATGTCAACGTGAGGTTTGATTCATGTAAAGATGTGGAAATAAATATGCAAACAGTGAGGTCATTTCAATCCAAGGCAAGGGTGGATCTTTTTCTGTCCGGTCGAGATGCTTCTGTCATTTCCTCACCTTTTACTAGTGCTATTTCTTATAACACACACACACACACACACACACACACACACACACACACACACACACACACACACACACACACACACACACACACACACACACACACACACACACACACACACATCCTTGTCATGCTTCCCGGACCAAGAACAAGTTATATTTAAAAACAATTTCTGACTCTGTAATGCTTGGCTTCCTTCACTGATTGCAATATTATGAAAATTGTATCAACCGGATAATTGGGTCAGATGGTGTGTGACGTTCGCCACAACCTCTGCACACACACTGAAACACTACTGTGTGTGTGTGTGTTTGTGTGTCTACATCATCATTGCATCTATCTGTAGTTTTGACTGGTGTCCCTCCCCGTAGCGTACAATGTGTCGGAGCGCTAGCCAATAGGAGCCTGAGTGTTCCATTGTGATGTCACTATGTTGCAGAAAGTAAACAAAGGAGACCACACTACAGGAGAGGGAACCCAATGCAGAATAGCGACTCTTTATTTTATTAACATTAACATCAAAAGGTAAACATGTACTGTGTGCGTGTAATACTTTATCGATAGATGTTGTTGGTGTCGGCAGGCCTGTGTTAATTATTCTGGCTATTAATCAGACTAATGGACCAATCAGGAGCTACTGAGTCTGTAAGTGTACCCCCAGGCTCGGATCCACCTGGATCAGCAAGGCCTCAGCTCTACTAACTCCTGAAGAACCAGGCTCAATTACCTGCTGTTTCAATGCAGACGACGCACTCTGTAATGAGGTGTGGCCCTGCCTAAGGGTGAGGGTGGCAGCTGTGCAATCTTACCTCAAAGCAGGAGAGGAGAGCGCAGATTTATTTAAATTAGCCCAATCCAAAGGGTGGGATGATTTTATTTGAAGAAAATGATCCACGCTGTTACAGGGTTTTACCTTCTCTCGTTACAATGTGACAATCATACACAATGATTCATGCTGTGTCATCCAATTACTCATATGAAACCTCAATTCACAGATTTACTTTTCTTATTGTATTTGGTTAATCTCTCACCTGTCCCTCTTTAGTTGCACTCAACAACTAATCTGGCAGAATTCAGAGGAAGTTCCTCATAGGTGGCCGGTGATATCAAACTCATTCAAAAACAAAACCGAGTTGAGAGAACTCACCGAGTTGAGAGAACTTACCAAGGAGAAACCCCGCTCTGGAGCTTTCTCCCTCTCAGCCAGAGCTTTGATGCTGCACACAGGGACAGGAAACCAAAGACACTCCTTCATACCCTATGTGGGGAAAGGTCATGACCTCTGGTGTGTGGGACTGGACTTGTCTCCTATGGCAGTGTTTCTTAAACTGTTTCATACCAAGGACCACTTAACCAATAAAAAACCCTCACGGACCACCTGACTCCAC